AAAAATTCTGCAAAATAACGCACACTTTTGTGTATTTACTGAAATATCGACTCGAGGAAAGAGGCATTAACTTTGTGTGACCTCAAGGCGAGGTTCGTTCAGAAACGCACAGAAATCCTGAAGACACGGGGTTGCGATTCAATCTTGATTCTTGCTTGAGTATATCAAAACAGCCGAGTGTATCAAAGGCCGATTCAACGGCAGCTGCGGCGCGATTGTCACTGGGTCAGATTTGCCGAAATTTCAAAAAAAAACGTCCGAATCTACACCCTCGATGAAAAGGTTGCATTCCTCCATTTCACAACCTTTGAAGCAGCTTGAGGTAGAGTTAGATAGAGCTGGATTTCGCGTTTCCAACAAGCATCGAAATTGCTCTGGAAGCCTTCCTTGCAGAAAGATAGGGTCTGTCAAATTTCGTCGAGTAAATGTCGAGGAGGCCGAAATTTTCACGCGAGTTTTTGCCACTTCAAGAGCAATATATCTCTTATATTGTAAGATCCTGAAAAAGGGAAGATAGTTTTGGAAAGCGGAAGGTTTGCGCTTCCTGATGGTCTGTTTAGTTTTCTTCTACAGCTTTTTGGTTGAAGAGATAATTGCGTCGAGGATCTATCGAGGTCGGATCCGGCCACCTGGAAATCCGCTCCCTCATTCACCATTGCAAGTGTGACTCGTTGGCAACACTCGGAATGTGTCTAGAACAATATCTTTGAACGCAAACAATAAGAATAGGAGCAATCGTCATCATCCGATTTGGTATTGGTATAAGCCATGCATCCCTCCTCCACTCACAGTTGCAGAATCGATTGAAAGGTGTTATATGATGGGGACCTTCGAACGAAACTGTATTGTAGTAGACATAGTGTGTTGTGCTATTCCTGTAACCTAAAAAACAACTTCATTTGCCCAGCGCTTTTTCTTCACGGTTGTCGTTTTTCCGACAGGGTCCCTAACAACAGCGTCATTCTCAGCGAGGTATTAAGGGAGAAGGAGCGAGTGATAGGCGGAGGAGGTGCCTTTGCAGCGCGTGCGCACATGTGGCACTCTTCTTTGCGGGGATGCACTTTCATTCTTTGTACTGCCTTCAAATACGCCCTTCTCATGAAGGTGGAGGAATGGAGCGACTGAACCTGCAAAGAAAATTTAATATCATGTTTTTTTTCGGATGTTTTCATTTTCTGCTGCGCTATACCCTTTACCTATCTGCACCATGATACCACTTCTGTTACTGACCCCAAGAGTACGACCCCCCATGGACCAGCCCAACAGGTACGACCCCCCTGTCGAGGATTTCCTCGACCGATATTCACCCTGCCCACTGAGCTATGTTTGGTTATAAGGGTCGAGAATGGTGCCAACAACACCTTGAGGTTGAGTTATATCAATTCACTTCTCAACGTTACTGAGCTTCTAGACCGTCCAAAGGAACTTTCGCAAGGAAACTGAGATTGTGGAAATGTTCGTTCATTGCAGATCGTCCAAACCTCAAATGTGTCGGAGGCTCGCGGTCTCATCGTCGATATGTTGGCCAATCGTGATCTTCCACCCAACGTGTCCTCATGTCTTCGGGCTGTTGCATCGCTTCTGAATCCGCACACAGTAAGTTCTTCTTTTTTACATCCCTACAATTCTGGCCGAGAAAGTGTTCTTTTTCCTTTTTCATGCTTTTCATTTTATTTATTTCAGATACGACATTTCGATCCCCACGTAACTAGAGTCTTATTTACTCGGGCTTCTTATGGAGATCAAATTCTCAAGAATTTGAATTAACTGGTTGGGCTATAAAGAAAGAAAAATATATACTCCAAACATTCCCCACCTTTAAAAATGCCCTGGGAACATTTTTTCTGGTCTGTGAAAACGCCAACAGAAAAGCAAGGAGGCACATCTGTGATTCCCATAACATCACCACGCAAGAGCAAATAAATCCTTCTCGTTAACGCGAAAAGACTGCTTTCACATTTTTTCCTAGCAGTTTCCGCAAAGTGGCATGCCATTTTCCACAAATAGCATGAGTGGCCATAAACCAATGACGCACAAGTTTCGTAGGGTGTTGAATGCCAGGAATGAGTGTTTCACTAGGTGATCGACAAATTATATTCCGCCTTTGTGATTGAGGAAAGCACGATGTTCTGATTCACGTCTGCAGTTGTACTGCATAAATTTTTCAGTTTTCAAAGAGCATGCGGCAAAAGACAAGACTACGAACTCTGAAACGTCGTGTCCAGATGTCCAACAGAGGAAAAGTGCACACATAAAGTTTGATGACAGACAGATAGCGTCCGCTAACACATGATACGTGCAGGGTTAAGCTTTCTTGGATCAAATAAGGCCCTCAGGGCGCTCACATCGTTGTAGTGGGGGAGGGGGGTGACATTCAGCAAGCAAGTCACTACCCACTTGAGGAAGGGTTATGTGAGAGGATGTGAGCACTTTGTCTTCTCCTAACGCTTCTCCTTATACTGGGCTTAGTTCTAGTGTCACCTTTCATCAGCACTGTTTGAATGACCCCTAAAGAAATGAGCGCCGGTCCCCATATTCTTATGAGAGGGTTATATTGAAGGGAAATCCGCCACCACGTTTTATCCTGACCTCGTGGTTGGTCATGTTTTGTTCCTGGACAGGATGCACCGCGGCAATGAATGGTAGATCCGGTTCTTGGTTGGGCCTATCAGTGAGCAGCTGCCCTCAGGGTTGCTCACTGCTAGGATATCGCGACCTCGAAAACACGAACATTAGCAAATAACTTTGAAAACAGCTGATTTACCCGGCGCCCTGTGAACCAATTTTAAAGTCCTCCTAACTCAAGTCTGCTAATCAATGCGATATTTAGTTTGTATAGAGCTTATGAGCAAAGAACCGGGTTGCTGAGTTCACCTTTTGAAAAGATAGGACCTTTTTATCATAAAAACTGCCATGGACTTTTACCCGCAATCCATTCTTCCTCTTTCAATTGCCCTTGAGTGTTTCGGAGCTTCTGAAAAATTGACCCTTTCTCGCCAACATTTATGAGAGGACGGTGTTGAGTCTTGAGAATTGGGAGCCCCACAAAAATTTACTTGTAAATGTTATAAAATTTCTCATCTCTTCGATTACTCGTTTTTTAGTCATTCTTGGAAATCACTTGCGACTACTGGAAATCTTCCAGTGTTCGCTACTGTGTATCCAATTGCCTGATATTTGAAACTTTTATCACATTATCCGTTCTCGAAGGGGGGCGCGAAAAAAATTACTTGATATGTTTGTCACTTAGTTTCGCAACTCCTTGTGTTAGCCAACTGCTGTTAGTTGATGCTTCTCTCAATTGTTTGTTATGGTTGTTTGTGCTCATATCTTTAGGGGAATGTTCAAAACAGGGTATCTAAAAGTCAGTGCTAAGTGACGCTGGGACTAAGTAAGCCTTTGCTCACTTCCTCCTTAGCCATCCCTAAGGCTCAGTCTCAAATTCTGTGAATCTCTACTCACTTCTCACCCCCCCCCCCGCCCAACCATACCAAGAGGGATTACGAACTAACTTCCAAGATACTTGTCTGAAGCCGCTTGAGACAAACTAGGTTTGGCGGTGGATACGCCTGAGCGAAGCTATCTGTGAACTTATGGAATTCCTATCCACGAAAGAATGACGTCTGACGGTATGCCAGGCATGCGTGCTACTATCCAGAGCCACCTCTAGTGATTGACTCTAGTGAAAATAAAAGTGGTAGCATGCGTGGCGTATGCCAGG